AACCATGGTTTTATGAAGGTGTCAATCAACCGAGGTCAATCAATACAAACCATTGGAAGAAATTTTGCACGGCGAATAAGTAGTAAAGCATAGATTTGAAAAAAAAATTGCTCAGAGTTTCCAAGTTCAAGAAATATTTTAAGTTTTGAAAAATGAATATTAACACATATGAGCTACAAAACCATTTAGTCGAGACCTAGTTTCATGCCATTATTCTTGTGTAGTACATTTTCTTTAGAAGATCTAGATGCTGCCTAAGCTGTGGACAGGGTGGACTCGCCACCCTGTCCAGAGCCTGTCCACACTACGATTTATATTTATTTTGAACTCCAAAAAAACTCTCATTTCACTTTTTGAGATATATTATAACCACCACACGACCTCATTGAGTCAAAGTGATTGCCGCTAAGATACAAGATGGAATAATAATACATTTTTAGTTCATATTATAACGCAGCAGGAAATGCTTCGTAAATTAACATCACTTAACTTTCCCCTTTTGATTTTAACACATCCAGCCCCTTGCTAAAGAGGCGCGCTGGACGGCAATGCAGTATTCGGGTGGGGAGCTAAACTAATCTCTTTACAAGGTATATGGCTGAAAAACGGCGGAGGGGGGGGGGGGGGGGGGGGGGAGGGCAACCTCTTTTTGCACTTCTTGTGCAGGTTCATGCCTAGCGGTAGTGTCCAGAAATTAGAGTCGACGCTCACAACGAGGTGCTTGCGAAGGTTTGAGGGAGAAGATCTTCCCAGAAATGTATACTTTTTTGCAGTGTTCGCAGCGAGCAGCGAAGTTATCGCCGCTATATTCGGAGAGGTCAAAGTGCAGTTCATAGCCGGACCACGGTAACATCTGCCGTTCGTGAGTCGTCACTCATGACAGCCTCTCGTTTGTGCGATAACGGTAATTACCATCTAACTAATTTCTTTCATGTGGCTTTCTTATTCCCCTTTCTCAACTGAGAGGAGAGGGAGAAACCGATGAACATAATGGTACTGGTCTATTACAATAATAGGGTAGGGACCAGAAGACTAAACTATTTGGAACTGAATAAAGTGGAAAAGTGTTAATATCAAACATGATAAAGAAAGGAGTGAATAAAAACAACACAACGTCGTCTCGGAATGCTTTTCGCTTTTCTTTTTAATTTATTTTGTGGTTTTATGCGACGCAGAACAAAACACTCGATGGTGCATCATATGCTCTCGGCCTCTGGGAAAGGGCAAGTCAACCAGTAGAAACATCGTCTGCGGCCCCGGTCAGGCAGTATCTTCTGGCGGCAACTCGCATTTGCAAAGAAAGCTATCGCCGCGACTGCTGCGACACCGACGACAGAAGCTCTCGTTCGGCATTGAACAGTTCACAGTTCACGTCTAGGCGTCGCGTGTTTTCGCGAGGTGGCTCTATCGCTTGGCTGAAGGGGCGGTGGTGTTCGTAAAGGCCGGAAAAGGTGAAGGCGGAGCGAGAGAGCCACGCACAAAACGGTTGAAATAAAGCAAATGCTAAATGCGCCGGCACTTTTCTCCGACAGAAAAAAAGCTTTGAGTTCTTGTTTTATTTTGTCGCGTCTAATGAGGGGCCCAACCTCCACACATGGTCGAATTCGCTACATAGTGTTCACAAAATAGGGTCATTTGTTCGCGAAAAGTATCTGTGTATTGAGTTACAGTCAAAAGTTACCCCAAAAAAGTACCGAGTTACAGTATCACGATACAAGTGCCTTGATACTACCCCAGACTGGATGTGAGGCGACCAGATTACATCCTCGGGTTGCCAGACCAAGGTAAAACAGGGCCTTGTCTTTGTGACAATTAAACTCGACACCATGGCAGCACAGCAGTGCCATTCGGGTTTAGCAATATGGCTGCAGAAACTCAGTAATACACAAACAGTGATATGATTTCGATGCCCGAGAGGGAATGGAAGTGCGGAAGCTCAAAAAAAGTATGCAGGAGCGGGGAAATGCTAGAATGGCTTCTATCTGTCTGTATCAGCTTGTATCCCTATTCAATGTTGAATTTCTGTCCTTCTTTCGAGTAACAAGACTCCCATTATACATGTAACTACAATGGCAGAAGCAAAAATTCAGTGGTGTTGGATATCTGTAAAATGTGCAAAGGAATAACTTATCCCCTTGAATTTGGTCATAACACAGACCGAGAGCGAGCACTTTTCCTTCCTGGAATCAGTAGACAGAGACATGCAAAGTTCTCCACTGACAATGTAATTTGAAATTATATAGCTGGACGAACTTGCGCATAGCATTCACTCTATTTTCCAGTGAATCGTCAGTCAGTACAAAGCTGCTCCCAAGACAGATTCTCCTAATGGAGGTTCTTTGCAAGGCAACGCGTTCCCGGCTTGCTTTGCGCGGAGATTGTGGAAACTCCTCGCCACTTCCTTCAGTTGTAACGTTGTCAAGCATGCAAGCTAAAGTTTTAATATTAAAAAAAAAATGCGGACCTTAAATCAGTTCATGGGGGAGCTCTGTGGGGCCACACGTGCACTCTCGTGAAGCTTGAACAAAGGCATGCTTTTGGAGTGAGCGAACGATTTTCATCCCGGGTTGGAGAGGGTGTGACGGACTGAAGCAATGTTCTGAGAAAGTTTGCGAGATCTCACTTAGAATCCAACTTATTTCTGGCGTCACTTGAAAGTCACGTCAAAGCGTTTGGCCCTTCTAGGAGCGGCAACTGCTTAATGGAATTAGACCATCGTTCTTGAGATTCTGAAGCAATGTGCTTCGACTTTGTACAAAATAGTGTTCGACAATCTTATGTAAATGTCCCTGGAATACAATGGGCACAGATCTGGAAAAAGTGGGAGTTACAAGCCAGGGAGGGGGAGACAAAGGCTGCATTTTCAACGGCGAACATCTTTGTCCGTGTCTTATGCTGCACAGCAGGGTGTTCGTAGGCGCATTGCAGGGAACCCATTCAATTGTTTTGCCGGCCAAACGTCTGCCTCAATAGATAAAGTTTATTTACAGCATAGATGCACTACCCTATTAAAAATATTTTTTACCTGAATTTTATTTCTAGTAAAAAAAATATTTTACTGGATTTTGGGACTGTTTCCAGTTCCGGTAAAGCCGGAACTTACCGAAAGTCACCGGATTTGCCCGGATTCACCAGAAATTACCGCAAGTCACCCGATATACCGCAATTCACTGAAACCTACCGTGTTTTTTTTTTGACGTTAACGGAAGGCACTTAGGAAGAAGCCTGCGAAGCGTGTGTGGTGTATGTTTACCAGATGCTGGACGATTCGGTAAAAATTAAAACGGTTAGTCCTTATAGACCTGAAAGTTCCATGTCTTTATTTCACAAGTTCGATATCAGTGACACAATTTGCACAGCTGTAGACAAAAGCAATCAGACCAAATAGGAACAATCGAGATCTTTCTCGCAAAAAAATTTCTTTCAAGGTACTCAAAATTAGAGCACTGTACGGGCCGCGGGCCGGACTTTCTGGGCCCGGCCCGACCCGGCCCGGTAGATGCACGGCCCGAGCCCGGCCCGAGCCCGATGGAATATTTAATCTCTTGACCCGGCCCGGAAGAGACACTGCCCGGGCCCGGCCCGGGCCCGGCAAAATTTTTAGACAAAAGCCAGAGCCCGACAAAAAAAAAATATTAACATAAGCCTGCGCCCGGCCCGAGCCCGACAGATTATATACATGAGCACAAAAAACGTTTGTAGGCTTTAATCTAAAAGCTGCCTAAGCATAACGCCAACATATTTGACTTAAATTCAAACCGAGTTATTGCTGTTTTTATTTTTTGACACGATAAATATTTTGACTGACGATGTACTTTCGAGAATATGGGCGAAATATGTACTTCATAAGTGATTTAGAGAAAAAAAGCGGCCAATATTTTATTTAGTGCATTTCTTGAAGAGATATTGGACTCTTCATTGTTCAATTCGTTTCACAGAGAACTTTCCTCTCTACGTGTTTTTGTGAAGAAACACTGAGAATCCCGCTAGTGCATCTTCAAAAGGCTGTATTAGCATAAAATTATCTATGGCAGTTAGCTTATCTTTGCTGGCATAGTAAAGCCCCCTGCACAAAGTGCAAAGTCAAGCTGACGTTCTTATTCTTTTTTTTTTTCTTTCTTAGTGTGAAAGGGAGAAGAAAAAAACACCCATGTTGTACCCTGAGATTGGAATGCCCTCGTTTTTTTGACCGCACTTTGCCACTATGCTGGTGGAATCCGTACGTTTCCTTTTATCCACGTAAAGGCCTTCCAAAAGCAAGACGTCCTGCGGCGCCATGTTATTTTGCATTTCGCTTGTTTCTAAAAAGTCTTTTCTTTTTTGAACGGCGCCATAGTTATTTTGCATTTCGCTTGAACCAAAAAGATCAATCAGAACACTTTTTGTTATTAACAATTTAGAATTTGCGGCGAACGACAGCCCAGCCAGGGCTCGAGCCGGCCCCGGGCCGCCACGCCCCGAAAAATATTTTGTTCCAGTCCGAGCCCGGCCCGGGCCCGAGAAAAAGGCGTGCTACCCGACCCGAGCCCGGCCCGCCGGCCGGGCCGGGCTCGGGCTTTCGGGCTGGCCCGGGCCCGTGCAGTGCTCTACTCACAATGCCGCTGGGTAAATTCCTAGATGACGGTAGTTCATGTCCACGAGGGCGGCCAGTGGAGTCGTCGACGAGGACGGCTTCCAGCAAGTCCCGCCACGTCGACGTGTGAAGATCTCTGTGGGCTCTGACAAAACCAGTAAGTTGCGTGCCGTGACGAAGCATACAAGAGAGAAGGCTCTCTTCATTTCACGATTACATCCTGAAACAACATGAGACGAACTTTCGGAAACGGTGTCCTGTGCGCTAGGCAGTCAGCGCTTCACTTGCATGAAGCTGTCTTCTAGATTTAACACCTACGCTCCTCTTCATGTCTCGGTAAACGAGGAAGACTTTGATAAACTAGTGGGTCCTGATTCGCAGCCGGACGGTTGCCTTTTTCGGCCCTTTTTGGGATGGCTCAGACTCGATGACAACAGAACTGCTGGGAACACCGCGATCAGAGCCGCCCTTTAGACTGACGAATATTAATGCGAGAAGCGTCGTAAACAAACCGGAAGAGCTTGAAAGTGTACTCCTGACTTACGACCCCGATATAATAATAATTACTGGAACTTGGTTGAACAAAGAAATACCGAATAGTGAAGTTTTCATAGATGGGTTTAATGTGTTTCGGCGAGATCCTGGCTCTAGGGGTGAGGGGTCGCACTCCTCGTAAACGACAATTTTGAGTGTCCAGTTATCGAACAGAACTCTGATTGTGACATGATCTGGGTGTCCGTCCGTTGGGGTTGTCACTCAATGCTTATAGGGGCACTGTACAGGTGCCCGCAAGCTGGTATAGAAGTGCTCACAAAATTATCTGAATTTTTGTCAATCAACCTAATTAGTGAACAAAAAGGTAAGGGCACAAACGAGCTGGTGGTGGTTAAATATTCCGAAAAAAAAACCGAGACTGGGACAATAAGGGACGGACAAAGACAAAGTCTCAATGTTTCAGACTTTGTGTTTGTCCGTCCCTTATTGTCCCAGTCTCGGGTTTTTTTTCGAAATGTTCAGCCTAATTAATTTTTCACGTGTTATACTGGCTGGAGATTTCAACTTGCCATATATTGACTGAGACATGATTCCTATAGGAAGCTGCGCACACTCAAGCCTACTTGTAGATATTGCTTTTAGCAATAACTTAAGCCAGGTAGTGAGATGCCCCACGCGCGTGTCTAGTGTGCGTGATTCATTGCTAGATCTTGTGTTCTTATCAGAAGCCATTGCCAGAAATATTAATATATCAAATGTAGAGGGCATATCTGACCATGCAATAGTTGTTTGTGATTTATCTTTCCGGCAAAATACGAGGGGTACTAAAGAGCTGAAACGGTTCCGGGATTTCACTAGGGCGGATGATGTTGGCATCCTCGATATGTAGGAAGAGGCATTTGAAGAATTTTCTGAGATAAGCAATCAGAAAGGTGTATGTGTTGATAAGTTATGGCTTTTTTTTTAAGAATGCTGTCTTATAGTGTATTGACCGATTTGTTCCGGAGCGTTCAAGAAATAAGAAGCAGAGTCCTTGGATTACACGAGATATTTTACACCTGAAACGTAAAATACACCGTATTGAAAGGTACAAACCAATTTTAAAAAGTACGCTTCCTTCCCTTTGCCAACAACTGCGGGTACTTGTGCGCACATCTAAGTATTATTTTTACAACGTCAAAATGGGAAACTTCCTCAGGGAAAACCCCGGAAAATTTTACGCACATTTGACTAAAACAAATTTAGCTATCAATAAAATCGGCCACAACGGGATCACGCTCACCGATGAACCCAGTATAGCAAGCGAGATTAATCGTTTTTTTTTTTCTGCTTTTTATACCAAGGATAATTCCATAATGCCACGATTTACTCATGACCATCGTAAAATTTGCGACTTAGTAGTGTCAGTAGGTGGTATTTCTGATAGCCTTCTCCGACTGGACGTTAAAAAGTCATGCGGCCCGGACCGGTATCCTAACGCATTCCTTCACAGGTATGCGGAATGGAGTGCGAAGTATCTTTACGAAATATACTTTTGCAGTTTAAAAACTGGCGAAGTGCCAAAAGACTGTAAAGTAGCGAAAGTTCTGCCAATTCATAAAAGTGGAGATAACAAGTGCGTTTCGAATTACAGACCTGTCTCGCTGCTGAGCACATGTAACAAAGTTCTTCAACATTTTCTCTTTCAACACAATGTAACTTTTTTAGAATCCGCAGAATTTTTGGTAAAAGACCAACATGGATTCTGTCGTGGTTATTCAACAGTTATTCAGCTTCTCCACATATTCCATGAATTTTCTGCTACAGTGGATAACGATGGCCAAGTGGATTTTATCTTCATAAATTTCGCGAAAGCTTTCGAAAGGGTGTCGCATCGAAAACTACTGTTCAAACTTAAGCAGATACCCGATAACGATTACCTTTTACGTTGGGTTGATTCCTATCTTACGAACCTCGACAGTACGTGACTGTTGGGAAAGTGCAGTCCCTGGAATTGCCAGTCGTCTCAGGAGTACCCCAGGGCTTGGTGCTCGGTCCTTTGTTGTTGGTTTTTTTTTAGTGTTTATAAATGATCTGCGTGTAGATAAGCCCGGGATTCAGTGCCGACTTTTCGCCGACGACTGTGTTTTGTTTGTCAAAGTGCCATGCACTTTGGCATTGAACGGATTTGAACGTAAAAAAATGCGTGCAAATGAGAGTAACACTAAAGAAGTCTCCAATTTTGTTTTGCTATTCTATCAACTCAGTACCGGTAGAAAATGTCACTTCTTATAAATATTTGGGCATTACCAATGTCACATCTAATTTAAGCTGGTCTGTTCACTTAGAGAACATTATCGCAAAAGCGTCTCGTAAACTGTGGAGTCTTCAAAGGACTATGCGGCATTGTACCCCGGAAACTAAGCTTGTTGCGTGCACTACTTTGATTCGTCCATTATTGGAACACGCGGACATTTTATGGGATCCGTATTCACAGTCATTGATTGAAAAACTTGAAGAAGTGCACGAAAAGGCCACTGTGATTTATATATAATGCATACGGGATGCATACGTCTGTGTCATCCCCTTATGCGGTATCAGGATTAACCGAGTTATCGACCCACAGAAAAGTGAAGCGTCTGAATTTTTTTATTTAAATGAATACACGATAAGATTGGATTGAAGTTCGAAGATTATCTTGTGTACAATATGAATTTTTTTATTTAAATGAATACACGATAAGATTGGATTGAAGTTCGAAGATTATCTTGTGTACAATCTCAGTCGAGTCACACGGCAGAAGCATGACAATCTTCTTCGAGAGTTTCAACGTAGAAAATACATTTTTAACTACTCTTTCTTCCGAGAACTGTCCGAGACTGGAATGGCCTGCCTCACAACATTACAGGCAGTGCCACCTTCGACTCATTTGTCAGCGCCTTAGATGGAGTTTTAAATCTATTTGACTAATCATTTGCCAAGTGTTACCTCTGTTTATTGGGAAGCGTTTGTACTATATCCCTTTTACTTTTTCTCAACCATGTTTTTTGAAGCCATGTATAACTAGAGCTATGCTGTTGATATGTCACATATGTACTCAGATGCTTTGGCCCACAAATGTAGGCCGGCATTATTATTCAAATAAAATAAACTAATAAAACCGACCAGGTGCACCACATGGACACACACACACACTGTCAGTAGCACGTTTAGCGAAAACCACGAACGCGCCACCAACATCTGCCGCAGTTGAGAAATCATGGGCACGGACACGGTGTCGTCCCTGATGCTGTTTCCGCGGGTGCACCACGCGGACACATATACACTGTCAGTAGCACGCTTAGCGAAAACCACGAACGCGCCACCAACATCTGCCACCGTTGAGAAATCATGGGCACAGACACGGTGTCGTCCCTGATGCTGTTTCCGCGGGTGCACCACGCGGACACATGTACACTGTCAGTAGCACGCTTAGCGAAAACAACGAACGCGCCGTACGAACATCCGCCGCCGTTGAGAAATTATGGGCACAGTCACGGTGTCGTCCCTGATGCCGTCACGGCGTTTCCGGCGTCTTTTTCGCTCGCTGGTTGCTTCTGAAGCCAGACGGACAAAGAGACGCAAAAAACAGGTCACTAAAAGATTTTCTTTTGATCCGCACCCCCAGCTGCTCTGGAAGATCCAGGTCGCACACATGGAACTGGAAGCCAACACTGAGCGTTTGTTCTTTGCCATTGCTCGTTGACGGACAAAGAAACCGGTTTTCTTCAGAAGAGACAGCAAAAAGTCCCCCTCACATTTTCCCCACGAACCCAAGCGAAGGAGAGAGGGTGCGTGGGGACTCGTCCTTGCTGCGTTCTAGGCATCATAATTACACACCCAGTCCCCGGCTCGTCTCGGTTTCCCCCTCCCCTCGCGCCGGCTTCCAATGAAGTTCGGTAAACGGGGAAACAAGTCACCCGTTTCCGGTAAAGTTTCTAGCGATCTCCACATTCTGGCTACCACGTCTGGTGAACGAAAGTGACCGCGGGTAAAATTCCAGCGAAATCTGGTAACCGAGTGTAGCTCCCGGTAAATCTTCCAGCAAAGACTGACTGGTAAACTGCCCTGGTTTGGGATTAAAACGGGTGAAACTTGACCAGTTTTCACCGAATGCCACTAGAAATTCACTAGAAATTCACCGAATATCACTGGAAGTTCACCGGATGTCCGTGGAAGTTTTTGCCAGATTTTTCATTAGGGGTATACTTTGGGGGCCAAAGGGATCTAACAAATTTCTAATTAAATCATAAAAACATTCTCGGCTAATGGAGTACTGTAATTTCTCGTCAAGCTACCGCAGCATTGTTTTGCGAAAATATTGCAGGAAACACTTTTTTGTTATTGCATTTTTTGTGTCACTGAGAAAACATTTCTTCCGGGCGATTTGGGCGTTTGATTTAAGGACAAACTTGAAAGAAGGGAAAGAGATCGCTCTCACCTCGCTGGCCCAGAAAACTATTATTGTATTATTTGTAATATTTGATTATGCAAGTTTTTAAACAAAATGCTTTTTAGCCACCTCCGCACTGAACTTGGCCGAAGTCTACTTCGAAACCGAATAGTATTTGGAATATAAAACCTACCGAGATACCTACTTCGAAACTGTATGTTCACCAACCGGGTGTAATAAGTAAAACGAAAGAAGCTGCTGCCGAGCAGGTTTAAAACCCTGGTTGGCATAGTGCAAAAAGGTCATCCAACGGACGCTTTGGTTCACTCGAGAATTTCTGCAAGTCATTTGCAGATATTTAAGAACGTGGGTCCAGCCCGCACTCCCTGCGCCTTTGTGTTAGGCGGCAATTGTGCTGTGGGCGGTGCCACGTGCACACCCAGTGTACTTAAAGTGTGAAGTGCTTGGTGTTCGTGTGTTAGTTATGTTATATGGAGCTTTATAAATCGGCTCAAACCGTACATGTGCAGTCTCTTCGAAGTTGCTTTGCAGACATGAAATCCAAGGTGCTAAAACTAAGCTATACCCGCAAAGCATTTCACACTTGGGCATATACTCTCTGAGACAAGCTAGACCGGCATATTTTTTTCTGTAATAAGTTAACGAATCAAAATCACCGCATAGCTGCATATTATTGTTCAACTACGGTACCATAGCACTAATTTGTGTAATTTAGTTGAAGTACGGTATATCCATTTGTCGCATGGCGTAGAACATAATCGCAAGGTCTTAGTTTCCACGACAGCACTGATGCATTTGCGGTAACCCTACAGATAGCTCATTGATACAAGTACCACAGAGTTTTATTGGCTGCTTGAACCATCAAACATAGCCCTGGAGATCTATTTAAGGGTTCCTCATAGTACTGTATGTTGAATATCTTCAGTTGATTTTGTGTGCTCTCTGTGCCGACGTCTTTGTGCCTTTAGCTGCTAGACTGTTACAGGTATTATTCGCGTCTGTTGGCTCCCACTGGCTTTTAGGCTATGTGGCCATCTCAAAGAAGATACCGTGCCACCACTTGTTATTTGCAATATAGTTGAGATGCAGTTAACCTGCTGATCTCCGTTAGTTCATTCGCTAGCACTCAACATGACATTGGAGTGGTCTCTTAAATGCTCCACTCATGATTTTCTTCTCAATTATATCCTCTTTATGGAATGCGAGGCGTTTGGTCCAAATATCGCCACTCATGAAATGAATGGCTTTACTCCAGGCGCGCTGGCAGGCTACATCGGGGACGTACCTGCCGGAGTACGCCTACCGCAACACATGGCCCACCTACAAGGGGCCATGTGATCAGAGCTGGAGGTTTCGTTAACATTAGTAGATTACAGTTGGCGGTGGCGGTTATGTTTATTTAAAAAAAAAAATCATCCGTCAGGGAAATCTGCGGGTAAATTTTGTCTGGTTTGAGT